TAGTACTTCTTTTGGCCCAAAGAATTCCTTTCCTTTCTTTCCAATATGTGTCCAAGCAATCTCCACCCTTTTTAGCAATTCTGGGTCTTCTCCTTTTTTGAGAAACATAGGTTCAACCTCCTTGGTTGTGGGTGGACGCCTCATGGCATAACCTAATTGGCGAAGAGAGAGTACCGGATTGTAGTTGATAACCCCTCTTGTTCCCATGAGTGGAACATTAGAGAAACCTGCACAGTGGAAGATGACTTTGGAGCTATCCACCTTAAGTTTGTACCATTGAATGTCGAAATAGGTGAGTGTCATCACTTTTGATGCCCATGAGCGAGGATCTTCTTTGAATGGCCCTTTGGTGGGTAACTGTGCCATGAACCATTTGTAAAGCATTGGTATACAACATACCACTACTCCTTTCTTTCCATGCCTGGAGTGGATAGCGTGGTAAGTATCTGCTAATAGCGTAGGTATAGGATTCTTATTCATGAAGACGCACAGAGAAGCCAAGTCCATGATTTCTTTAATCTCAGGAAATAAGACAACTCCGTAAATAATGGCGGCCAACAGAGCATAATAAGCATCCCAATTTCCCATATTCGCCATTTCCTTAGCCTTACTTGCCAAGAAATCTGTAGGAAGACCGGAAGTGACTTTGTTGCGTCTCCATTTTCCTTTTACATCGTTAAGGCTCAAATAAAGAACCTTAGCAATAGCCTCAAAATCAGGTTCAATAGGGATTTGAACAAATGGAACATGGCCGGTGAGCTTAATGTGGAGAAGATGAGCATACTCCTCAAGAGTAGGTGCTAACTGGTAGTCTTGGAATGTGAAGCATCTCAACTCTGGATCATAAAATTGTAACAACGTCTGTACAGCCTTGTCGTTAACCCGAGCATCCAGCAAAGATAGGAGATTCCCATATCTTTCACCAAAAACGCCCATTTGTTGACAATTCATGAGGTCTCTGAGCTCTTCAAGAGAGGGCCAAGTACTAGGACGAAACTGATAGCTGAAGTTATCCCTCTTCGTCTTCGGGGTGACATCAGTGTTGTTCGCCATTCTTTGGAGGAAAAGGAAACCCTGGATAGATCCTGGAAATGACAATGCATATGCGAATTAATTATTGATATATATATATATATATATATATATATATATATATATATATATATATATATATATATATATATATATATATATATATATATATATATATATATATATATATATATATATATATATATATATATATATATATATATATATATATATATATATATATATATATTTGAAAGGTAAATATGCCTATGATGTGTGTGCAAGTGATCATGGGGTTACTACTTCCATGATATTGATTTCTGTTGTACTGCCTCTTCGTATCCTTGTCAATACCGAGATTACAGGTCTGAAATGTAACTGGAAGAGGACCATGAAGATCAAAGATAAGTCCTCAGAAAATAAATCTGAGAACCTCATAACTGTTGGCAGAAATGCAGGACATAACCAAAAGTAATCGTCTGAATATAGTCACCAACCGTACCTGTAATGATAAATCCCTCCCCACTCACGTGTGAAGACTACGTCAGGGTGAGATAATGGTAACTCGAAAATCACGGGTCTGCCTGAAAGTAAAATCATCGCAACACAGACGTGCATGATGAAAGTACCTTCAATTGAACCTCCTCCGAGTGTGGTATATGACATGACTGCACTAATCGGACCACGTCCTATAGCCGTCATTCCCCCACTCTATTCCTAGGTGTCCTAGTGCACTCTGGTCTGGGTACTGGGCCTTTACCTCAATAGTAACATTCCCACCCAAGCAAGAAGCAGATACAGTACAACAGTAGTATATGGAAGGCAGTAGAGTGTAATACATGCGTATGCACAGGTATATTTAAAAAATGAACGAATGAACTGAAAGCATAAAAATAAACACCCTAAGAAAAGAAGTCAAGAGCTAGGAGCGACTCCGGGATGGACCAGCGTATGGTCGACCTCTTCCCCAGTGAAGTCGCCAGCTGAAACAACCGGCTGAAAATCATCAAAACAATGAAGTCGCCATCGAACGTCTTTTATCCCACATGAAGGGAAAGGTAAACATCGAGGAAACCTGAAAAGGGAGAAGTCACGGTCTTGCGACTGAGAGATTGGGTAAGGGAGTCTGTTACGCGAGGGGAAGGTATTAGCACCCCACACGCCCGTAGTACTCTACGGTATCCACTCTTGTTGTCTATCTTATGGGTGTGTTCAATCTATGCTTATTGTTTATTATTGCTACTGGAGAATGCATGCAAAAGAAAAGGAAAGAAAAAAAATGTAGGGAAAATAAAATTGTGCTCGCTTGGGCCCTACCCCAATGCCTACGTATCCGTTTTGAGGAATCAGAGCTACCGTAGTTCGACTTACATGTTTTTGTTTGTTTGTATTTTTTACCGAACAATATTAATTTCGCCTTCTGCCGCAACTCGACCTTTGGAGACTTACGCGTCAGCACAGAAGTGAATTAACATGCTCTCTTGAAAAGTTTGGAAAGAAATGTGCCTGGATGCACAAAGGTTTGAATTTGTTTGTTTTTTGATGAACAACACTAATTTCGCCTTCTGCCGCAACTCGACCTTTGGAGATTTATGCGTCAGCACAGAAGTGAATTAACATGTTCTTTTGAAAAGGTTTTGAAAGAAAGGGCCCGAAGGCAAAAAGAGTTTTGTATTGGTCGATGTTTTGGTTTGTAGATAATGGCTAGTTAATCTCAAGAGAGAGATTTTAGCTATGTCTCTACTTATTCATGAAATGAGTCTTTGAGACTTGAATCATACCAAAGCTTAGAACAAGAGAATAATAAGATCGAGAAGAAACCCGCTCATCATCTCTCAAACTTAGCCAAAACATGGTTCTTGTCAGTAAATTTTTATGTATTTTTGAAGTTTGTAAAAAAAGTTTTAGTTTTAGATGCGTATGCAAAAAGGAGGAAGGAAAGTCACAGGGAGACTAGCCTATATCTATTCCTAATATCATTATACTTCACACAATCTACGAGAATGGATAAATGCAGGGTGAACGTAGAAAGGAAATATACCAAACGAATACTAGTCCGTAGAGCAGAGCATAAAAAGCAAAGATGCTTGACGATCTCGTGAGCTGTTAACATCAACAAGGAAAGGAGTTAGAAATCCAATACTCGGAATAAATGTTAAGGTATCACCGATGTGAAAATTTGTCACACTCAAAATTTCGGGCGTATCTACACGTCGCCTAATGAACCTGCATGAGATTTAAATCTCAACAAGCAAGGGTGAATCATGAATTTCAAGTATAATTGGGTAATCGGGATTTACTTCCTAAAAATCGCATAAAAAAAACTAATGAATTTTTATATATATTTTTTAACTTTATTGTTTTTTTTATGTGAGAGAAATAAAAGAGAAAAGAAGAACAAATTTAAACAATTAACAAAAAGGAAAATATTGAAATAATAAACTTCGAGGGGTACCATATTACAGTCAAGGGGTGCTGAAGTAATTTGATGCTAACCCAAACCAAAAGAATCCAATGTTCCTTTTGTTCATTAGGATATTAGGCCCCCTAATTCATAGTTTCAAGATATTCTTCATATCAATGGTCCAAAAATAAGCGGGCATATGAACTGCAAGCCCGGTCCACTTACGGATTCTTTATCATCCATATTGAAAAGAAACAAAAAAAACCAAATGAGTAAAAAGAAAAAGAACTAGAAACGGCGATGTTTTGCTCACACAACAGTTTCTTCCCTCTCATCTTCCTTATTCGCCCTAGCTCAACAAAACTCGCCGCTATACTATCACCGTCACACAACAACCATCAATTCCCAAACCGTGAACCATTGAACACCAAACCTCAATCAGAGTCGGATCTTGATTCTTAACCCTACGCCTTTTTTTTTGAATTTTCAATCGGATCCACCTAATTCTGCAACTTCATAAACCTCAAAAATTGAAAGAAGGGGGAAGAAAACCAAATGCTGAAGATGCTTATAGGACCCTTAGATAAATTGATGGCTATATTAGTGACGCAAACCGTTACAAGAATGGAGAAATGAAATAAATTGCAGCTTACATAACAGAGAGATTTCGATGATGGTGCCGGTAGCGTAAGAATTCCAGAAGCTTTCAGGTAACTCCAATTGCGTGTTTGATTCTGCTTGCGCGTTTTTCTTCTATTTTTTGCGTTCTGTGTTCATCTTCTTCTTCTACTCCATTTTTTTATGTTCCTGTGTTGTTTCGTGGCGTGTGAACGGGTTGAATATGACAGAGTAAAAATGAGGGTGAACGGTGTAGATTAAGTGATTGAGAAACTGGTGGTGTATGTGAGAGAATCTTAGAGATCAAGAGAGGATAAAAGGGTGGAGAAAAATGAAAATCGTCCCCTGAGATTGAAGATGGGGATGCGGTTATATAGGAGTTTGAAGGTAATGGATGCGGTTATGGGAGAATCGATCCGAACCACTGATTTGAGTAGAGTTTGTTAGGGATTGAAGGGTGAGATTGAAAGTTTGTTACAAGGTGGTTATGCTAGTTGGGAATTCTGTTTCGAGGTAGTTAGAGAGTTTGTTACTCTGTTTGAAAATTAGTTAGTAGAAGTTAGTTTAAGAGGAATTTTGTTAGTAATCTATTTTGGAATGGTTAGAATTATGCTTTGTTACAATTTCTTAGAACTGAACTGTTAACTGTTATTGATTTCTGTTTGGCAGTTGAATGAGTTTCAATTTGATTCACAACAGGCTTAATCTTGGAGTATGCTAAGCAATCTCTATTCAGAAAGACATCATAGTTGCTGATCCCTATGCTGCGAACCAAGCCCGATGAGACAAGACCTTCCATCGCATGCCATGTAGTTTCCAAGGATATGGTTGGTGGGCATCAGGTTTACCTTCACTCAAATTGTGTAGTACACAGTTTTAGACAGAAACTGCATTATGTAAGGCTAAAGCAACACCGTTTGGTGCCTCCACAAAACTTGATGACCAATTACAGGTTCAGTGGCTCTGACTCCGCGTCCCTTTCCTTCAATTGCCAATCTTCTGTTTTTGGCTTATCTGCAATCACCAACAGTCGCCTTTGTAAGATACTAGCCATGAAGAGGAAAATTGAGCACATGCCAAACATAATAGTGATAGGGAATGCATCGACATTGTACAGCACAACACAAACAAAAATGTTCAGAGGAATGCTGAAAAAGTTCATGATGGTGCTCCTGGCTTCTTCAGGAATGTATTGGGATCTTATCTTCATAATGGATGGCCAGAATATGCCAACACAACTTTCAAAAGTACAGAAGTCGAGAAGCTGAATGCACCCGATGATTGAGAGACCGCCACCTGTTGCTTTGGTAGGAAGTGAGAAAAAGGTTGTAAGAATGGGAAGCATTAGAGAAGCAGAAGAAACTACAAAAACAATCTGCATGTAGCTCTCTACACGGAATGATGAACGAGCCATCAACTTAGATGCAAGTGAGCTTCCCAACATTGACGATAACATGAATGTTGCAAAAATAAAACCATGGGGAATCTCTTCATCATTTGGACTCAATGCAGGGGTCCATAGAAACACAAAGGTATACATTGAACCTTAAAAGAGAGACTGTATAGCACCAAGCAAGGCTATTTTTCATCAGAAGCAATGGCCACAGCGGCACCCTTAAATTGGGAAAGCAAGCTCTTGTTTTCAGAAGCATCACCGTAATTTTCTGTCCATGTAGATAATATGATGATCATACCAATTGTAAGAAAACCTGCAGCAGCATCAAAGGGGGCTACTGGTCCAAGAGCCAATGTATCAACAAGAACATTTCCAAACAGCCCAGAAAAAATGGCGACAAGGCCATTTCCAAGAAATATGGCCTTCAAGAATGTTAATGACAGCCATTGCTGATCAAAGCCCCTCTTGAAATGCTCAGCAACAAGCCACGATTCGAATGCTGAAAATAGAAGTGAAGTGGGAATGCCTCCCAAGATACATCCCAACATCAAAATTCTATACTGAGGAGAATGTTTGGTGATGCAGCTCGCAATGTAGGTTAAGCAGTAAGTCACACAAGCCCTCTTCCGACCCTGTTTATCAGCCAAAGATCCCACAATTATTCCAAACAACATTGAAGACCCAAAGCCAGCAATAAAGAGTTGTCCAATATCCCCCTTTCCATATCCATAAGTACTATGAGAGAATAAATGAGAAGATAATTATTTTTGAAGGAATTGAAAGCGGAGGAAGTATTGATTCGATCCTACATTAAATGGGAAGCATCTGCTGATGAGATGTTTCAAGAACTCAGGGTTGCGTAGCACTCCATGGTTAAAAGCAATTCCCAAAAGATGAGGAGAAGAGAGAACCTTTACTATGACAGTAGGTGCAAGATTGTTGACATCATCATCAGAGATTTCATGACCTATCTCATCTGAGTTTTCAATCAATTATCTTCCTGCTTGAAGATATTTTTGACTACAGGCCAAAGCTTGTAGGTATACCATATGGAGTTATTCCCTAACTGATCCCTGAGCATGTGGTAGTAAGAATCAAGCTGAACCTCTGAGGAGAACCATGTCTGAATAAGAATACCCAATCCTTGAGTACCTGTTATGGATGCATGAATATACATGGGATGCATGAACGGATGCCATGTCATGTTCCGTCATTTCCAACGAATTTACGTGCTTTGTTTTTTATTTTACGTAAGTAAGGATGGAAAAGTTTGGCACTAGGATCATAAATACGATTCCTTGGAAATCACAGAACATGTATGTTAAGTATGTGTTCAACCATGTTTTGTATGCAAAGGCATGAGATCAAATGGGTTCAAGGTTCCATCATTCCTGAATATGATTGCTGCGAGTATCATCAGATTAGAGGTCTGGCACAGCTTCCGCACATAAGAACCAAGTACTATGTAGATCACCCATTGTACAGGGTCAAGGCTTCTGGAACATCAGATACTGTTGAGCGTTTTCTGAATATGCTGGGAATGCCAAGATCAAAGGCTTGAATAAATCTCCAGGTAAACAAATCAGGAACTCAGAAAATAAATCTGAGAACCACGTAGTCCTCAACAGGATATGGCATCTGAATAAGTCACCAACAGAAATCCAGAATATAACCATTAGAACCAATAGTCACTGTCTGATCACAGTCTCCATCTGAGCATGAGTAACCATTTGAACATAGTCACCAACTGTACCTGTGATAAAATTCCCTCCCCACTCACGGGTGAAGACTAGGTCAGGGTAAGACAATGGTAACTCGAAAGTCATGGGTCCTCCTGAAAGTGCTATGGGCTTACCCACAGACGTGGGTGCCGATAGTAATTCATTTGAACCTCATCCGAGCATGGTATATGACAAGACTGCACTAATCGGACCACGTCCTATAGCCGTCATGCCCCCACTCTATTCCTAGTGTCCTAGTGCACTCTGGCCTGGGTACTGGGCCTTTTACCTCAATAGTGACATCCCCACCCAACATGGAAAATAGAGTCCAGCATAATAGATAACAAATAGGGAAAGCAATAAAACGCAATGCAAACTTATGCTCAGGCAAACATGTACAAATGAGTAAACTGAAAGCATAAAAAAAGACACCCAAAGAAAAGAAAGAAAGAGCTAGGAGCGACTCCGGGATGGACCAGCATTTGGTCGACCAGTTCCCCAGTGAAGTCGCCAGCTGAAACAACCGGCTGAAAATCATTAAAACAATGAAGTCGCCATCGAACGTCTTTTATCCCACATGAAGGGAAAGGTAAACATCGAGAAAACCCGAGAAGGATGAAATCAAGGTCGAACGACCAAGAGATAAGGGTAAGGGAGTCTGTTACGCGAGGGGAAGGTATTAGCACCCCACACGCCCGTATACTCTACGGTATCCACTCTTGTTGTCTATCTTATGGGTGTGCTCAATCTATGCTTACTATTTATTACTGCTAAAAGGAGAACGTATGCAAAAGAAAGGGAGAAAAATGTAGGGAAAATAAAAGTTGTGCTCGCTCGGGCCCTACCCCAATGCCTACGTATCCTTTTTGAGGAATCAGAGCAGCCGTAGTTCGGCTTACATGTTTTTGTTGGTTTGTGTTTTTATGAACAGTATTGATTTCGCCTTCTGCCGCAACTCGACCTTTGGAGACTTACGCGTCAGCACAGAAGTGAATTAACATGCTCTCTTGAAAAGTTTGGAAAGAAATGTTCCTGGACGCACAAAAGTTTGAATTTGTTTGTTTATGTAATGAACGATATTAATCTCGCCTTCTGCCGCAACTCGACCTTTGGAGATTTACGCGTCAGCATAGAAGTGAATTAATATGCTCTTTTGAAAAAGGTTTTTTGAAAGGAAGGCCCGAAGGCAAAAAGAATTTTATGTTTGTTGGTGTTTTTGCTTGTAGATAATGGCTAGTTAATCTCAAGAGAGAGATTTTATCCATGTCTCTACTTATTCATGAAATGATTCTTTGAGACTTGAATCATATCAAAGCTTAGAATAAGAGAATAATAAGGTCGAGAAGAAACCCGCTTATCGTCTCACAGACTTAACGAAGATATGATTCTCGTCATAAATTTTTTTTAGTATTTCGAAGTTTGTAAAAAAAGAAGTTTTTGTTTTAAATGCATATGCAAAAGGAAAAGAAAAGTCAAAGGGGGACTAGCCTATTTCTAAACCCAATGTTATTGTGTATTAGACCTAAAGTTAGAATTTTGAAGGAATTCTACCTAATGTTAGCATGCATATGGTTTGCGATAAAGAAATGCAATAAAGTGCGAAATGAGGGATAAAATAAGGCCACGATGATACCGAACGGAGAAGGTCTGTTGTCTTCATAACCATGCAAGCAAAGAGAGCTCTACAAAAGTTGCTCCGTCCGAGTGATCAAAGAATTAGTTTCCAAGCATTCCTCAGCAAAATTTGTATCAATATTCTATCACAAAATCTTGGCTAAAAATGGCAACGGAAATGATTATTAAACATGAAAATAATAACATATAAGAGAAAATCATAATAAAATTCTAAAGAGAATCTAAAAATATTTCCCAAAATATTCTACTATTTTTGTATCATTTTTATTATCAACTAAGAAAGAAAAAAAATCTAAACTAGAAGAAAAAACTAGAATCTTAATGGGATTTAGAAAAGTCAGGATGGTGTTGAGTTTAATTGGGGAGTGTAGTAAAGGAACTCAGAACACTAGGCCCATTAAAAGTTCAAAAAACTATTTATTTTTTTTACCATTCTACAATACCAAAAAGTGAAACTATGGGCTCAACAAGGTCATTTTCGGCCCAGATTTTATTATTGTCACAATTATAAGGTTGGCCTTTATTTAATTGGAATTAAAATGAACAAAGATATATAAATAAATAAGTAAAAAGATAAAAATATATATATATATATATACAATGTAAATCTGAAAGGGATTAGGGTCAGAAAAAAAACTGTGCTTCGCCCTTCTTCTTCTCTCGCGGCTCAGCGGCTCCCTTCTCCGCCGTACAACCTTCTTCGTCTCCGATTCAAACGGCTCTTCGACGTTCATCATGAAATCATCTTCCACTGCTCATCTTCTCGACGTCTCATCACTCTCATTCGCGGATTCAGGATTTGCGATTCTGTTTCCTCGCGTTGCCTCAACGGTTCAGCCTCACTTCGCTTGCGCCTTTACTGTCTCAGCTTCCGCCGTGAAAGCACCCTTTGGAAGACGCTATTCATCGTCTCCTCTAATGTGGCTTTATCTTCGTCGATGGCGCGACTACTCCACCGTCTCAAGCCTCATCGCCTTCTTATCAATTATGTTCTCACTTCTATTGGAAGACAAGTCTGGCGCGTGTTCAAAACTCAGGTATGCGTATTTGATTCCATTTTCTCTTCTTCCCTAAATCCAATTACATTTTGATTATTGCTCAAGCGTTTGTTGTTGTTGTTGATTGAAGGTACGGTGAAGATGAAAGATGATTTTCGATGGTAGTTGGATTTGTTGTTGGTGTGACGCGATGATGATGAAAGACGAAGTTTTGTTGATGAAATTGGTTGTCAGAGATATGTTGCAACAAGATGATTGCAGATCCATGGACTTTTGCGATGAAGGCTGCATATTCAAAATTTGAAGTGGGGTGGAAATTTTCTGGGTTACAGTAAGGAGTGTCAAGATTGAAGGTGGAGGTGAAGGATGAATGGTGATAATGGTTAAAGATATGGTTGTGGTGCAGATTGGTTGTTCTTGAATGTCATAGCCTAATGCGTTTCTTGAAATGGCGTATAACGAGGTTGTTGTTGTATGATGAAATATGAAGGAGATGCAGAGATGTGGTGTGAGGTTGGAGAAAAGAGGAGATTGAGGCTTGGAGGGAGTTTGAAGAAGTTGTTGTACGAAGGTTGATGAAGATGAATCAGGGAGTAGAGAGAAATAGCTTCAGATTTACGGTGAGTTCTCTATATCTTCCCCTCTTTTCTGATTGTGATTTTCTCTGATAAATTATGGTGGATCTGAGACTCTTCTGTAGAAATTGAAGAAAAAAGATTAGAGGAGAAGAGATAATTTTTTATGTGATTCTTCTGCAAGTTCCAGAATGAGATGGTTGAGAGGTAATTCTGTTTTTATTCTGTTAGCAAACAGTTAGAGCCTTCGAATCCGTTAGCTGTTAGTTTGAAAGTTAGTTAGGATTTTGGGAAATGGAAAGTTGGTTTTGACAGTTGGTTATAGGTTTGTCAGGTTAGTTATGAACTGTTAGGAATTACTATTAGTTTGTTATGGTTAAGGAGAGGTTTAGAGATTGGTTAGTTGTTAGTTAGAAGTTAGTTTTGCTTTGATTTTTAGGCCTTTCTATTATGCCGAATCAATTAGAAACGAGTTTAGTCATTGTTTGTTGTGAATTGGTAGTTGAGCTGTTAATTGATTTTTTTTTGTTTTCCATATTTCTATGCAGAGCTGATTTTGAAGCAGGTTCGAGACGATTTTCTTTGACATGGCGAGTTTGGTTGTTGTGAATATGATGAT